GCTGCTATAAAAGTTGATGTGGCTGCCTCAATACAGTATGCTGATTTTAAGTCCTTTGGGTATGAACCAAGGAGTGGGATAGCTGGGTCAAATGGTGGTTCCATTCCCAGTTTTCTGTATAGAATCTCTATACTGCTTTCCCTGGTGGTTGCACCAAATTACTACCACCAGCAATATATGAGTATATCCTTTCACCACATCCTCGCCAACACTTTTTGTTGACTTTATTCTTGATGATTGCCACTCTGACAGGAGTGAGAGATGAAATCTTAGAGTAGTTTTGATTTGCATTTCTCTAATTGCTAGAGATGTTGAACACTTTTTCATATATTTGTTGATCAATTGTATTCCTTCTTCTGCAAAGTATCTGTTTAGTTTCTTATCCCATTTATTGATTGGGTTATTTGCTTACTTGGTGTTAAGTTTTTTGAGTTCCTTATATATTCTAGAGATTAATGCTTTATAGGAGGTGCATGTGGTTAAAGATTTTCTCCCAATCTGTAGGCTGTATCCTTACTTTATTAATTGTTTCCTTTGCTGAGAAGAAGCCTTTTAATTTAAATCCACCCCATTTATTAATTCTTGATTTTACTTCTTGTGCTTTAGGAGTCTTGTTAAGGAATTCAGATCCTAGGCCAACATGGTGAAGATTGGGGCCTACTTTTTCTTCTATTAGGTGCAGGATCTCTATTCTAGTGCCTAAGTCTTTGATCTACTTTGAGTTGATTTTTGTGCAGGGTGAGAGATAGAGGATTAATTTCATCTGGCTGAAGAACACATACACGCATTCACTAAAAATGCCTAAGTCAAAAAAAAAAAGTTCAGTCACTATGCTCAAAATACATGGCAGCCAGGTGTGGTGGTGCACGCCTGCAATCCTAGCAACTCAGGAGGCTGAGGCAGGAGGATTTCCAGTTCAAAGCCAGACTCAGCAGATGCGTGAGGCACTTGGCAACTCAACAAGACCCTGTCTTGCAGGAATATGGATTCGGTTTTCCTATATCTTTCTATTTTTTCAAAGACAATAGGAAATTTGAAATTCTGTGTGATTTTTTTTTTTTAATTTTTGTAAGCTAGATTTAAAACTTCAAATTTGACGGAATTAACATACCTACCTGGAGTTAGAAGTGGTTCATGCAACCTCTGGTTTACAGACTAAAGAGGGAAATCATACTCTTGAATGGTTACAGAATGTAGAAGTAGTCAAGAATCTGGATGTTGTCATTGAGTAATAGGTGTCATTGAGTCTCAGGGGTGATGCTTTTCACTTGTCAGTTCACCATGAGAACAAAGCATTCAAAGAATCACTTTGTTCACATTTTAGGGCTGTTCTACCTCTAACACTGCAAGAACTTGGCCTGTGATTTTTGGAAAAAGCATGTATTTCTAGTCATCGATTGGTACCTATTACATGGATTAAGACAGAAAATCTTTTTTAATCTCACCCCCATTATTTGACTTTTCTCTGTAGAAACCACATGCTGTAGTTTGGATTTTGAATGTCCCCCAAGGGTCCATATGTTAAAGGCGTGGTCCCTAGTTGTCACTATTGGCAGGTGGTGAAACCTTTGAGAGGTGGGCTCTAGTAGGAGGTCCTTAGGTCATTGAGGATAGGCTCTCCAAAAGGATTGTGGGGTATCAGCACCCTCCTCTTTGTCTTTTGTTTCCTGGTTGTGAAGTGAGCAATTTTACCCCCCTACAAGTTCTTGCCATGGTGTGCTACCTTGTCACAGGTTCAATGCCATGAGGCCTGTCAGTCATGGATTAGAATCTCCAAAATGTGAACCAAAATAAACCTTTTTTACTTATAAGTTCATTATCTCAGGTATTTTCCTATAGTCATAGAAAGTTGACTAACACATACCCAAAAACTTTTGCTCAAAAGATTTTATTTCACATTTATAACTGTGTAGATATGGATATTACATTTGGCTTATATTTATCTTCTCTATTTTATGCTCTTTGAATTTATGTTTATCTCCACGTACTGCATTTTGAATTTCCCTATTCTCCTTACAAGTCCTTTAATATTGAAAATAGTCACCCTGCCTCATAAATTCTTCCTTCTTTTAGGCTAAATATTCTTGGTTTCTTCAACTGTTCTTCCCAAGACATGATTTCCAATCCTTTCACTATCTTATTAATCTTTAACTAAACATGCTCCTGTTTATCTAAATATGTTTCATCCTGGAACCATAAATTGAATGAATATTGTAGGTGAGACCTGATTAGTACAGGGTAAATTGAATTACCAGTTTCCGCATACATCATATTACATCTTGATTAAACCTGCACTAGCTTTTCAGGTCACTGCCTCACACTGCTGTACCTATTATACACAACTGCACAGGAATTAAAAGGTAGGTGTCCTTCTGAATTTATAGTTTTCTGAATTTACTTCACATCTGCTCTGTTTTATATTTCCAGCCATATTTTTTCCTGGTCTCTCTTTCACCATGTAATTATTTTATTTGGGTTTAGTGTACATATTTTCCAATATATGCATGTCTTAACATATGCCTCAAATACTATTGGAAATGAGATGGAGTATAAAGTATATATAAAATAGTATAACCAAATCATTTTTATTTCTCAAAGTTACAAGGAGCGGTGTTATTTTCTCCAAACCCGGCTGTATTAAAGATACATTTCAGAATTCCTTTGGAAGCCTACCATTCATATTTGTTTACAAAAAAACGAGTCCCATGGAGATGTCTGCTAGGTAACATGCTGTTTTTCTAACTATTTTTATAGGAAATCATTTAATTGTTTATATATCAAGTTGTAAGGCTTATTAGAAAATTTATACTTAAGAGACCAATTATAATATCTACTTTGGACACACACAAACACATTTGTGTGTATATAAATGGACATAGGTCTAAACATAGAAACTGATATGTTCCTAGAAACATTTAATTGAGAATTCTCAAGGTTTCAAACCATCATTTTTCACCACTTCAGAATGCGTGTCTATTGCCACCTGTTCCTATCCCATTTTTCAACTTTGCAATTATATTTTCATGACTTCTTCTTATCAGAACTCTCCAGGGCTCCATCTTGCCTAAATCAAATCATCTGGTTAATAACCAGGTCAACCCCAGACCAAAGAACCTTGGTGACTGTGATGTAGAATTCAGAACCCCTGGCAGCATTGTAGAATAAAGTATTACAGAGATTGGATCTTTCCTGCTTGATGGAGCTAGTTAAGCAGTTTCTGAATGGCTGTCCTTGCTGTGTCTCACTGGAGTGTGAAGACTCAGGGGAAAGCTATCACAAAGAAAAGATAAAGAGGAATCCAGGAGAGTGATCTGGAACCCACAAGGACACACTGGAACTCCCATCAGCCTGTCTTGAAGCGTCCAACTTCAAAGATGAAAAGGATGTGCAAGAGAAACCCGTGTGCTTCGGTGGAGGCTAATTGCACACTTGGTCCAGGCAAGATCTGGGGACCCTGAAGGAAAGATCTGGTGAGCGCTGTAAGAGCTGCATGCCTGGCTTCTGCCCAGTGTCAACAAGGGCAGTGACCTGTGTGATCTGCAATAGTACCATGTACCCTGCTCTTCTGCCCTGCTCTTCTGCAAGTGCCAATCTTGAGGGCTTTCACAGACTGTGCTTGATGCTCAACCATATTGAGCTTTCCCAATCCTACCTTATGGTCTATGCCCACTAGATTTGCATGGGGGGGAGTGAGAATGGGAATATTAGGAAACATAGTTTTTTCTTAGCTAAATTGGCACAGTGCAAATCTAGTGTACGAACTCGTTTCCCCATGGAGAGAGTCGGAGTTAATGGTTTTATAGTTTTTCTTCTTCCTGTCCTAAGTCTTGTCAGGTTCCCTGGGCACACTCTCCAGGTCTGTCCTGGCGAGAGCAGGCAGGGTGGTCTCTACCGTGGCACTGCCAACCCAGATTCAGAAACAGCTTGTGCTGTGGACGATGAGTGAAAAAAAAAAATGTCACTTTGGAATCAGGGCCTTTCCCAGCGTTGGTTGTTTATCCCCTTCCGCCCTCAGGACTACAGCATGGCTCCCGTGGTGGCTCCCAAGGAAACAGTCCTTGCTTCCGGCCTTTCTCTAATCAGGGTGGCAGGGGGATGTGTCCACCGCCGAGGCGGCCTTCCTGTGTTGACAACACTGTTTGTTCTTCCTATCTCCCCCGGGAGAAGTTGCCTTATCTTCTGTGCAACATATTTGGGAAAAATACATTTTTTTTTTTCTCTTTCAGAGGAATTGATTATTGTGCTTCTCAAGACCAAAAAGAAAAGCCCTTGTGGACTCAAAACAGCGACGTTAAAAAAAATTATCTAAATTTCTCTTATGCAGCAAGAGGAAGGGTTACCTTGCTGGTGATTGTTTATGC